GCTGCCATCATCATTGATTACACCCAACCAGCAGGTTTTTCCAAGAGCACTCAACATGACAGGAGGAGACTGAGCTCAGTCCAGTTGCTGCTGCTCCACATTGACTGACACAGCTGGAAAGGAGCTGAGCTGGCTCTTAGGAGAAAACTAAATCAAAGGTAGCATCCAGTGCCCATTAAGATGCATCATGAAACCCAAGGAGGAGGAAGAGTTCCTGGTTCACATCCCCACCTGCAGGGCAGCAGGCTCTCTGCATACTCTGCTGACAATGCTACATGTCTTTCACTAGTTTTGGTGAAAGTTTCTACAGCCAAATCCATTTAGATTACTTTTAAATTACATTTAAATTCAAAAGGCAACTGCCTAGTGAAAACACACTTCATCCCATAACTGTACCGCAGTGGATCCGAGATGGCATTAGGAAATTTCGTGAGCTAAGGGGAAATCAAGGAATCATCTTGAAGTTAAACATATGTTAGTGTTCCTAGATGCCTCCCCAAAGCTCGTGCACTAGCTGGGCTTGCTTTCTCCTCCCACTGTCTTTCTTTTTTTATCTTTTCTTTTTTTGGTTCCCCAGTATTTAAAATCTACATTTAAGAGAGAGACTTTTTTCACTCCATTCCAGCATGTGATTTCATCATGGTAAAAGATCAGGGAAACCTGTTGGGGAAGAGAACAGCTGCTGGTTGACAAGAGTCCCTCTGTTACCTAAAGGGTCTAATAGAGGTGGTGAAACGTTACCAGCCCTCACTGTCCGTATTAGCACTCTCCTGGAAGTTGCATCCACTACTGGAAGGTGATAGATGGGGATTTGCGTCTAATCCAGTTCACGGCCCAGCATCCCACCACAAAACCTCTCCCATATTCAGTTTAACCCAGTAACTTGCCATCTATTCTGGTACTTTGCCAGAAAAGTTCACCCTGAGGGATAGGGAAGACAGCTAGAAATAAAAACGAACCTTAAACCCAGCAGCTACACGCACTGCAGTTCCCCTTCTCAGCCAGGTTTTATCCCAATAATTTGATTACTGCATTCACTACTCACCAACTTTATAGTGCACACAGCCTTCCAAGTCGCCCACTGTTGTCCAGCCCTGTTTCTTTTCTACTTCAGGGTCATTGTGAAGGATTTTATTTCTTAACCAGGACAAATAGTAAACTCGCAACTTGTTCTTCTTACCTGGCCACAAAATGAGAAAGATCGGTTTATCTCCATAGGAAAATAAGTGCAAAAAACCCTGCCCAAGCAAAGAGAAAGCCCTGCAGAGCAAACCAAAATAACAATGAAGGAGAAACTGCTGCAACCACAGATCTCCCTCAGTTTTTATGTCCACAACAGCTTTACTCAAAACTCCACCCAAACACACGCTTTCCCAATCATCAATGACAAAGACACATGGTAATACCACATCAACATAAAATGACAAACTCGAGGGAACAGCTCTTTGGTTGTCTGGTTCTTAGCATGCAAACAACTTTTATCAGAAAAGGGTTATACTCCTACAACAAAAGCACCAGAGTCATGCACCGAGACAAAAAAAAAATATAATAGCTGAGTCAGAACGACTCTTTCGCACAAAACTGTAGGAGAGCAGCAGGATGGAATTTGAGGCCCAAAATGATCTATACGGCTTTCAGAATACCGTAGGACTGGTTTGAAAGGAGGAAGCAAAAGTGAAGAAGAATATGGTGATGAACTGTATTTTACAAATTCTTCCCAGTTAGTGACCAGGACATTTCCATCCCTTATATCATCCTTGGAGACACAAACTGGTCAAGATTTACTACGATGGTTCATTATTCGCCTGCTGAAAAAGCACACCAAACAACGCACTCAACAACTTCATTACTGAACCACTTTACACCAGTTCTGTTGTAAGGAAAAATGTACAATATCTGAAATTGCAGTGAAGGAATTTCACACGGCCCATGCAAACTTCATCCGCTCGCTAAAAGCTGACGACTGCTTTGTCAGCAGCCCTTCCCTTGTGCTGCAAGGGCTGTTAATACTTATCAGGCTGCACACAGAAACTGCAAGAGGTATTTCTTCTCCACAGGTGAGAGAACCTACTTGCCCAGGCTGCCCTATCTTCAACTGACAATGCATCTGCCGCAGTCATCAAAATACAGCTCAGACTCTTAACTCTCAATATGAGAAGGCCTCTCTGAACGCAAAGCAAGGTTCATGATAAACTTTATCAGTGATTCTTTAACAACTAATGGCCTACAAAGCATTTGCTGAACTAGTAAGAAGGTGGCCCTAAATGCACATACTCAAAGCTTGCATCCCCCTTCCTCCAGCCGCTTTGCTGCCCCAAAGCCCTTACAGTCCCACAGACGAAGCTGGAGGTGAGGAAGCGAGATCATCCCTGCTTTGACTAGGAGCCATTTAATAAGGCTCCATGAGGTCTCTGTGCAAGGAAAGGAAACAGGAGATGCTCTCAGGGACTCAACTTGTCAGTGGAGCAGCTCCATGCTACTGCTTCAATGAGGCAACTGGGTGACTGCGGACAGTGTTTCATGGCCCTTGGAGCTGAGAGGAAGACAGCTGACCTGTACTGCAGTCGGCGCTGGGCTGGCCAAGCTACATGGTACTGGTCTACACTGCAGAAAGCCATGACCTGTCAGGATGGTCCACCTGGCAGCCTGCCAGCCAGATCCAGGTATGGAGTTTAGCTACTGTCTTTAATTTGTCTCTTAAGTTTTCACGTGATGCCTACCGACGGATCAGTTCATGGCTGGCTGCTCATTTCAGAGACAGGGATGGACGTACAGCCTCAGGGGACACCGGTTGCAGCAGGACATGAAGCCTGAGCATTGAGACCACCCTGCTGTGTCCGGTCAGCTCCACAGCGGGGTCCTGGAGCCAGTGCAGAGCCCCCACCCTGATGGCAGGGGATCCCCTAACAGAGCCGGGGTCCTCAGGGAAAGCCGCTGGAGGGGCTGGGGCAGCAGGTGGGGAAGCACAGCTTGCAAACAGGCTGCCCCAGGGACTCCAGTGCCACAAGCCGTGCCGTTACAAAGACGCACAGTCCAAAAGATATTTTTTTTATGATTACTCGGATGGGGAAGGGCAGGAGGAAAAGAGGAGGCAGTTTCATTGTCAAAAATGTGTTCACCGAGCTTTAAATTTTAAGTGGAACTGGAGACTTGTTTTCAAATACTGGACTTGCTATTTAATTTTAAAAGCCCTTCTGCTCTGACGGCACAAAATGAAATGTGAAGTAACATTGCACTGGCCTTTGTTTAGCCCCAGTACCAATGTGACAGCACATCTGGCAGTAGATGAGCACCCTGATTTAGTGCCTGACTTCATCTTTATTAAGCCATGATTCATAAAGGGATGAAGCCCCACCACTCCCGTAGCTTTCTAAAGATTTGGAAAAGGGACTAGAGCAGGAAACAATATTCCCAGAAGTCCTACATCTGACCAAAGAAAGGTCCTCCCATGAAAATCCTGCAAATGATAGCCACAAGGGCCCTTTTAGAAACACTGAAAAATAGGGAATGTAGTCCAGAGCAGAAGGCACTGCAGTTCTGGGCGAGGAAGAGCTCAGAGGGCTCAAGGTCAGCACAAGGCATTGAATGTTTTTAAAACCATCACAAGTCCCTGTCCACCAAGAGACAAATTCTCTCTCAGATATTTCCATGGCTTTAGCTTCCCCAGTAGCTCAGTTAAACTTGAAGACTCAGAACAAACAGCACACACGGGAATTTCCCAGCACGTGGCTAATTTTTTTTGGTGTTGGTTCACATGATGTGCACCAGAGTCTTTCTCTCCAACCAGAAACATTTTTCAAAACAACAACAGAGAAGTATCTCAAGTGTGTTCCCATTGTGTTTTAGTGTCTAGGCCACAAGGAAAGTCACAAGACAGGAAATTCCTCTGCCTTTCAGCAACCTGACATGAAAAGAGCAGGACCAGTTAGTTATATAAACATGGCTATGCATGCATTTCAACAAATTATGCTGCTCTTAAAGTTTGTATTGGGAGTGGGGGGATTGTAAATCTGCTTGTAAATCTCTACCAGTCAGTTTAAACAGCTCTCAAAAATCTGGTCGTCTTTTTTTTTTTGGAGGTGGGTCTCACTGTTATGGCCATGCAATAGAAAAGAAAACTCTGCTCCAGCCATGAAATGAACTGATCAGCCAGTGACTCCTGTGAGAACTCCCCGCTCTGGTTCTCCCACAGACACTGTTTCAAATGCAAAGTCCCTTTTCCTATATTGAGTTTTTGTTTTTATTGTCGCTGTGGTTTTTAGTTATTAAGCAGGCAGATGCCAACCAGTTCTTCTACTCTGTCATCCCTTCCTACCTTCGCGAGTGCCACCACCAGCCAGGCGGGCTGGCAAACTCCCCAGGGAGCTGTAAGAGGAGCGTGTTCTGTACGCACATCACTGCTCCCTCCTCCCGCCTTCTTATAACTCTCAGCACTGTATTACCTGAGCAGACAAAACTGGTTTTGCCTCCCAACAGTACAAACTGAAAAACCGATCAACTGTTCTGCTTTGACCTGCCAAGCTTTCTTGTACTAGCTGTAGCAGCTCAGTATCTCAGTATCAAAAGCTTTGTTGTCAGAAAGTTTTGTATTACAGATATAAATTGGGGGAAGAATTGACTTCATGTTTTCAGACTCAAGAGTGTATATTAAAAGCAATTTCAGGTGACAATCCCCTTGAAACCCTAACGCACTGCAACTTCTTTGCACAATGTGGTGACACCTTTCAAACCTCACCACCATCAGCGCATCACTTCCCAAAAACGCCAAGGGAACTACAGCTGAGCGCACCGTAGGGAGCTGAACAACGCTCCCAGCGCAGCAGTAGCAGTCCTAGGACAAAGCTCAGAGGCAGCTCCATAACCAATCTGCCAAAATGGACTGTTTGCAGAAACAGAACCTCATTTCAGCACTCCTAGTTTGCCTGGAGAGATGGGGCAACTCACTGCAAATAAAAAGACACTAAGGGAAGTCCAGCATGAGGGCAGCTTAAATTGACAACTGCAGCGCAGAAGCTGAAAGAGGGACCTAAGAGGGAGCCCGGGCATAAAAGCATCACGGTTTTGCCGAGTATGCTCCCCCAGCCCTGCCTCTTGGTGGGCAGGGATGCCTCTCTCCTGCCTCATAGTCCAGTAACCTCCCATCAAACACGGGAGATGAGACAAAGGCATAAACCAGCCAAAGATCAGCTGATTTCTTAAGGGTTAATGTAGCGTGTCTCCACAGAGGAAGCAATAGTTTTGAAGGAAACAAAGAAAACGGATGTGTCAGGGTACTCAGATCGTGACTGACGCAAACGTAAACAAACCTAAAACAATTACATTCAAGATTGAATCACAGACACTTGTCATCTGTGTAGGGTATGCTTCAAACCAACAGATTTTACACAAGTTGGATTATACAATATTTTTGTTTACGAGGTTTACTATAGAATAAACTCTTTCAAATGGTGCTTTTAAAACAGCTTACATTTTAACGTACAGCATCAGACATCAAAAGGACACACAGTAGCTTCTGGTTTTTTAAACCCTCCTTGATGCATCTTTTTTTTTTTAAAGATTTCAGAGCATAGCTGTAGCTGAGAATGCAGCAAGTGACAAGCTAATAAAATACAGTTGTTCTAGATAGAAACAAAGTCCCATGTTGACAACACTAGCACGGGCACAGTTCTTTAGACCTGTAGCAGCATAACATCGCTAATGCATTAAATTGCATTAAATTATCTAGGTGTGTGTCCTTTTGCCCAAGTATCAGGAGAGCCAGAGAGCTCCTCCAGCACAGTCAGAGGGGCTCTGGAGCCTCAACAAAATTTTGGGTGGCTCTTAACAACGACACATGGGCCACTGTGAGAAACCGCATTTAGTATCTTCTCCCTGTCACACATGTGGAGCATAGCAAAGGCTGATTTCGCAAAGAAACCCAAACAAAAGGAAGGTAAATGGCTGAACACCACCTGTGAAGAAAGATTAACAGTGCATCATATCAGGTTGCTCAACAGCAGGATAATCTTACGCAATAACTCTCTGGAGCCAAAGAGTCTGGAACCTCAAGCTTCATAAAACACATTTTTCATCAGTGCACACAAAACAAACCCAACAATCACTACCACCCTTCATCTCCCGTTGCTTTGCCATCTGCAGTTGCACCCAGCGAGAGGCAAGGCCAAAAGCTGCACTGATCTGCCTTCTCACGCTAGTCATTTCCACATCACGTACACATTGTACTCCCCTCTCACAAACAGATACACACTTACTCCACATCACTCTTATTTCCCTACTTTGCAAGAGCATTTCCCGTTCTACAGATTTTAACACACAAGATGTCTTTAAACCCAAGTAGCAAACCATGTTTTTGTTAGAAAGAAGCCAGGTTGAAAGTAATCATGACACAAGGGAAAGTATGCCATTTTTACAAACTTCACAAAGCTCTCAAACACTGAACAAACAAACAAAGCTGGACGTTTCCCCCAAACCCGTGCAGCATTTTTAAAGGCCACCCCACAGGAGGAAGGACAGGGGGCAAGGAGGCACAGGGCGTTGTGCGGAAAATGATTCACTGGCAGAAACAAACTGTAGACTCAGAGAGGTGAAATGATGGAAAACCCACTGACTTCAGTCAAGTCAGGACTTCCCCCTCAACACATAGGCTGCCAAGAAAAGCCGCCTGCCATGCCATGCCAGATGCAGGGGGAAAAAAAAAATCACGTTGAAGAGTTAACTTTACCGGAAATTGTCACCAAGACATTCAGCCCTTCAAGTACATCCATTTGCTGGAATCGTCTTCGATTGATGAGCGGATAAACCTTCCCCTGACCACTTCTGTCTAGCAGCATCAGACCACTTTCAGTGCCCACTAACAAGTTCACTCCTAGAAGAAACAAAAGCAAAGATCCAAGTTAGTAGGCAGATTTTCCACATATTCTGATGAACTGATGCTTGGCATAGCAACTCCCTTGTTCCAAGCAGGTCTAGCCACTGCTGGCTGGATCTCAGCTGCCTGCAGCCTAAAAGATCTCATGACGTAGAGGCTCTCTACATTACCTGCCTGCAGTGACTCCTGACACCAAATTGCAGTATCCAAGGGAGTGAGAGACTGGTAGACCATGCAGAGCTTTCTAGAGCACTGATTCCCAAACAAAAAGGCATGCTAATGTTGGAGGAAGGGCGAGGCACAAAGTGGTACCCAAGCTTACGTATTCTGAAGATGTATTAGCTGTTGGTAGGGGGGTTGGTAACAGGATGCTTTTGACAAGGACATTGCAAAAAAGTAGTGGTAGGGGCTTGGGCCTCCCCGGGAGAAAGAGACTGTGGTGCAGCCCTCCTGTAAAAGGATAGGCACAGGGATGGTCATCAGCTTCCCAACAATCTTTTCCACCTGAATGTTAAAACTAGAGGAATTATAGTCAAGTTGTGTTTCCACAGATTTCTCCTAAAGATCAAGCAAATACAGTTGAGAAAAGTCAGTAGGCCAGTTTCTTTATAAGAAGGTCCAAACATCCACTGGAACACTTTCTGAGAGCCCAAAAAACCTTAGTATTTAAAATCAATTACATTTTTTTAGTAACAAATATATGTTATATATGAGACTGGGTTTTAAAAAAATCTGTTAATGTATTATCACTCTTAAATTTCATAACCATTTATTTGCAATAGTGTTTCAGTCCAGGAGCTCACAAATTGTGTAGAGACAGGTCAGACACAGTACAGGGAATGGAAATCAAGCCAAATTCATGACTCACTTTATTAGGCTTCTATGTTGCAATCCCAATGTAAAACTCGCCATCCTTAAGCACGACAAAATAACAAAATAAGAAAAGCAAAACTTACACAAGATGATCATAGTTACATTGCTTAACGGCCTTAATCCCTAGTCAGACAATTAATCCCCAGATATAACCATACTGATGCCAATGGATGTATCATCCAGGCTGATCCCATAATGAACCTTTTCTATTGCAGCACATGGGCCACAGCACAGGAGTCTGTGCCTCGTGCGGTCTGAATCTACAGCAGTGAGATGCCTTCTCACATTATTGAAAAAAGGCATTGCTCACAAGCATGAGGAACACTGCCTAAACACCACCCTGGCTACCACGGGAGCAGTCTGCAAGAGGGAGGACACATTCAGCCTGACCCAGGGGGCACGAGGTGTCTTCCCCAGGGGGACAGGGTGTTGGGGGGAGCAGAGCAGCAGCCTGGAAGAGGTAATGACAGGGAAGGGGCCTCAGCTGCTGGTGCTGGGGCACTCTGAAAAGCCTCTGGTTGGAGAAGAAAAACAGACGTAGCCCATGGAGAGGTTGGAAACTATCACACATCTCCATTTTCCTCTCTTTTGCCTTTTCAGTAAGGAAACTTCAGAGGTCACAGCAGTCCCCAGAAACCATCACATCTCTTTGCTCAGATCTGCTGCTCCGCTACTCCTCTGTCTCCTCCAGGCAGGAGAGCCCACGGATGCCGGCAGGCACAGAGCCTGCCTTGGGAAGAGGGCCTGCCGCCCTTCCAGGCTCTCCTTCAGCTGCTGACACCTCCTCCGTCCCCTTCCTGCCCTCCTCCTGCTTCTGCATCCCCCCCATGGGTCTGCACCCACTGAATCCCATCCCACAGCCCCCAGGGGCATTTCACACTTTCCGTACTGGGAGACATCCTCAAACTGGTAATCAGTGGAAGGAAGCAGGGAGAGCGAGGCACCCACTGAGTCAGGGCTCGGCACAGGCTGCAGCAGCACCGAAGCAGTCAAGGAAGCGCCCAGCAGTCGGTCTCCTTCCTGCAGCTCCAGGACCCATTGACTGAAGCTGTGATTCAGCTTCGACACGTATTTTTTTCCAGAGTGGATTACAATTCAAAGCAAGCCACATGCAAATTTCTCCCTCAGAGTCCCTTCCCCTCTTTGCACATCAGGGCTCAACTGCTGCCATCTCCACCCTCATCTCTTCCCCTGGTGCCTTCGTGGTGCAGCTGTTTCTGCTTCGAGTTTACATGTGCACCCATCCCCTACCCCTTCCCTTAGCCATATGCATTTTGAGATGAAACTAATGAGATACTACACTGGTGGCAAGCAGTGCCTGTATTTTAAAATGCAGATGCTGTCTTTATTCAGAGCCAGCACAGCTCTTCTACCACCACCCTACAATTAAGCAGTTCTGTTTTTTCAAACAAATGGAAATGCTTCCTGAAAAAGTACAAGCTCTCTGTGGAGGCTGGGTGTAGAAATCTATGCTACTGCATCCACGTCATTGACACTGACTTTCACCACTCAGAACTAGAAGAAACAGCATCATAGACCTAATGCAATCCGCAACCTGCCAGATACTATGGCATCACCACTGGTAAAGGCAAAGCAAAACAAAGCAAAGCAAGCCCTGCTCTTTTTGAATAAGAAACATCACCATGAAATGCCTTAATTTGCTTGTGGGTAAAGGAAGCTAAACCCTATCAAGAAATAAGCATGTGTACCAGCTTCCATCACTATCAGTTTGGCCCTGTATGTTCAACAAGCAAGTGCTTTGTTAGAGCTGTAAAACAGCTCTAGGATTTTACACCTGTATTTTAAATCACCGTAACAGTCAGATACATAGATCAAAGAAATAAAAAAGCATTAACACAAATTGCTACTGGCAAAACAAGGCAGATTAGAGAAATTATGAGTCATCTTTACCGATCCCATATGATTACTCTCTGCCTTCACCCTCTCACAGCCTGAAAGTTTACATTTGCACAAGTCTTCATTTTATCAGAGAATTATTCATATGGCTACATGCAGAAATAGCATTGGGGTAAAAACTCTTACCAGTAAATTCTGGAAATAAAGAAAGCAGCAGATAGGAAGATAAGGTGTTGGGAGAGCTATTTAATTGACATGGCTTTGCAGGCAAGAAACATAGGACAACGGTGCTGTTCTGAGAAACAAGAAATGCTGAAAATAATCCCAAAAGAGAACTACAGCCTTGGAAAGAGCTGTGAAAATGTAAACAAGAAAACTGCACTGTGTAACCTACACAATCATTGTGCCACTCAGAGGAACGGCCAACTCTCTTCTTCACAGTTTTTAAGATGACACGCACGTGCATTTACAGTCTGTTAAGTTTAGGGATACTAGATAAATATGTAAGTAATACACACAAGCATCATCTATTAACATCTAGATAATGAAAACAATGCAGGTGGCCCCATAGATTCTGGCCAAGAAAAAAATGACACATCAGAGAAAAGCTTTTGCTGGCTGTTGCAGCAGTAATTCCACGTGGTAGCAGGCAACAAGCACTGCTCTAAGCCAGTGCAGGACCCTGACTAACTGCCTGACACCGACATAAGTTATCCCTTGTGACAAGAAGGCCAGACACACTTGGTCAGCTGACATCCCATACCCAGCTTCTCTCTGCACTATCCACTCTTAACGAAACCAAGCCACAGTCTCACACTGGAAAATGTCCCTCCCTACCCTTCTCTTTTGCCTCTTCCTTCCTATATAAACCGATGATTGAGGTGGAAAGTCATCTTACGAAACACTTCTTAATCAAGCTCCGCAACAAAACATTAGCAAGATGCTCAAGAAGATGATTATTTTTCAAAAGAAAGACCCTGTGTGCACCAGGTGTACAATCCAAAGACGACTACAAGCTCCCAAAAACTGCAAGAGATGTGCTGCTAGCAGGGGTTAGAGAGCTGAAAAGGACATCCTGATCAGCTGAATGAAGCCAGAACTGTGCCATCAGTAGCATATATACAGCACTGGGAAATTATATCAAAGCAGAAGCAACATACTGTAAAAAAATGTAATAGTAATCAACTCTTGCACCAAAAAGGTGTAAACAAGCATTGAACAAATGCAGAGAAACAGCTAACGTTTCAGAGATACATCCTCGAAGACTGTAAGCTCCTACTGGCAGGTCTGCACTTCAGAAGTGCAGGAGGCAAGGGAGGAACAGGTTTGCATTACCCCATAAGGCAGCACACAGTATCTCAGAATTGAATCTCTTCTTGTATTTGCGAATCTCTGGGGTATCACTCTGTGGCCGTGTATTCGTGGGATTCACATTGACAACCGATCCTTTCCGCGTAGGGTCTTGCCTTATTGCCTCTGATCTCATTGCTTCACTAGAAAATCCTACTGAAAAAAAGAAAAGTAAAGTGCATGTAATATCCCTCAAGTGCTAAGTTCTGGCCATATATTCTTTACACCATACAACCCAACTCAGTAACTGAGAATATTGAGCAAGTCTTTCTTTTTGTAAGAAATGTAAATGGAAAAAGAAATAAACTATGCAATCCATCGCAAATCAAACAAAAAGCATGATGGTAACATTCGTAAGTACTTTAAAGAGCTACTGAAGTCACTGAACCCTTTTTCAATTGTCGTCTTCATCTACTTTACTTACCCACAGAAGTCACAGTTGTCCCACTAGATGGAGAAATCTGTAGTAATCTGGGGTCTATAAAAGGTGTAAAGGAGGAGGAAGATTTGTGTTTCTGGAGTGTGTTACTAGCGGACTGAGTCTGCAATGTAAATTTCAACTTTATTAATATTAATGACAATAAAAAGCACGGATAACAACAACCAACATTTTTAAGTCACTATAGAATTATGCTACAGAGCCTCCCCAAGCTTTTATATTGCCTTTATAGATACACAACGCACTGCAGGCACCACACCTGAACTAGATACATACGCACACTGCACAGCACATGTTACAGCACAATGTAATTAGCTAAATTATTGTCCCTGTCAACTCAGCTGCTAGCAAAGATTTTCAGGACTGGCCACTACAATCAGTCACAAAGCGAGGGAATGCCTCTTTTTTCAAAAAATCCGCCTAAATGTATGTTTACTATCTTATCTGCAAGCTGCCCACTACCTACAACTTTTGAATTTATGAAGCATCTCCTAAACTGAGCTAGTTTACTAAATTATGAAGTTTGATCTCCTGGCTTGTGCAACAAAATCAGAACCATCTGGGATTTGGCATTCACTTCTACCATGGATTATGTTTCAATGTGCACTACTGTTTGTTCTCCCTATTTCGTTTAACCTGAGCCTCTTGCCAGAAAGCTGCAGCAGGTTCTTCCACCTTTATTTGACAAAGCAACATATTAAACCTGTATCGAACAAAGGGGCTCATTAGTGTGGCAGGTGTAGCAAACGGTGACATGAAGCTATGAATATGTAGTGGATAAAATCACTGGTGCTTGCTGAGTTATGTGGTCTAAACATGAAAAAACACAAAGAAAGGAAGAAGACAAGAGAAACAATGAACTGTTAAAAGTGGAAATGGAATGACTTAAAAACCCTTGCCAGTTTAGTATTATAGTGACAACATTGCATACTGAAGCAGAATGGGACAAGTGAAAAAAAAAAAAGTATATATAAAGGGTGTGCATGTGGGTAAGTTATACCAAGCAGTACTGGTGTTTTGCTCAGCTTTATGCAAACGTAGTTAGAGACACTTCTTTATCATCAACTAATCTTCAACCTCTGATCTTTCTAAGCCTCTGCTCTCTCCTGAAAACATAGCAATGGGTCTTAGGAGTGTATCACTCCCCTGCACAGCTCAATATCGAAAGGCTCCTTTGCCACCAGCCACTACCACAGCCTCCACTTCCCAAGCTGAGTTAACTGAACTCTGCTTATTTACTGCTTAGATCAAAGTAACGAGCAAGCATATCTCTGGATCAACCAACTGTTATCTGTAACCTACAAGAGTGTGCTTTCAGAAAGATCAAAGACCAATGAAGCACAGCTGAAAATTAAGTATTACCCTAACCGAATTTCCGGGAGGAAACCCTCCCACCCCCTCTCCTGCTACATGGTTCAGAACCATTTTAGATCCTGCGGTAGACACACGCATTGCCATCAGCCTACCGAGCTCACCGCAGCCTCTCCTCCTCATCACAGCACTTGCATGCCCACATGGCAGGATGGCTCTACCCTGAGAAGCAGCAGCTGCTTTTTAATTGAGTTTTGTTCCCCCTGCACCAAAAAATACAGAAGGAGGTTCTCCCCAAAAGCCAGGCTGGTCATCCAGCCGGGAGTGAAGCCACCACGCCGGGCTCCTCGCTTACTGCTGGGGTTGGTAAGGGGCGACTGACGCCCTTCGTTCACAGGCGTGCATCTCCTCTGCTGTGAGGGGTTACACACAGGTGAAGGACCGGGCTTGCCTACCAGCACTTGGTGAAGAAGGGAAGGCACTGTCCTGGGATCACAGCCCAGGACAGCAAGAGGGAACTTCCCCCCCCCCCCTAGGTTTTCCACAACCAGTGCTGGTAGAGAATAGTCATCTTTACACAGCTACTTTTCAGAGCACACACATACTTGGAAAAAACCCAAAGATATTTTCTCCCGTTGATTATTCCAAAACAACAATACCCCAGGCTTTTACAACCCTCCCAGGCAACACCTGATTTGTTCACCCAGCGCATGTGAAAAGCTTTAAAGAGCAAAATCCCTCCACGGCCGCTTCCTCTCCCAAAGGGTGAGTTTCCACAAGCAGCTCCTCACACGTGCGGAGTTACTAGCCCAGCTTTTACTGACAAAGCCAAAATTAACCACTAATTTTTAAGAGGCACACGGCTTGCAATTAGCCTGCTCCCAGAATAAAACATAATTAAAAAAAAAAAGAGTATTGGCTTTAAAAAGCAGTAGTCAAGTTTAGTTTAAAACGAACGCCATGCAATTAATGACTCACTAAGAGGAAGCAAAAATAGTAAACTGGCAAGTTTGGCGTGGGACTGCTCTAGAGTTAGGGGCTTCTTACACAGAACTGAAATGTGTTATTTGGGGGGTGGGAACAAAGGTGAGAGAAAAAAAAAAAAGCAGGGGAGATTGGCTGGAGTTCCTCTGCAAACTAGCTACTAGGCAATGCTGCTATAACCCTATGAAAGCAGCCAGCTGTGGTGTAAGACATACCTCATTAGTAGTTAGCTTGTCCTGGGGTGTCTGTGGGGACATGGTGGGTGTCGGCTGGCTGGAGGATGGGGAGGAGGAGGTGGAGGAAGTGGAGGAGGAATGGCTTTGCTGTAAGAGATCTGGCAAGAGGTGAATGCGACCCGCAAAGCCATTGCTCTCATGATGGCTGGCACGCTTTTTGTCAACTGTACTCTGTAGAAAAAACAGGCACACTTGTCTTGCTCAAGTGCTGCTTAAAGGTCTATATCCCTAACAACCTCTCTCCTTCTGTCCCTCACTTGCTTCCTACCTTTTTACAGTTATTTTTTTATTTTTTTTTAAAATAAGCTGATAATCCATGCCTTGATGCCTGGATGGAAAGGGAAAGTGGGCAGAGCTACTAGAATTCAGCAAATTCCCACCTCTTCTGGCAGGTAAAAGCTGAGTTCGTGTGGTTGACTTGCACAGCCAGTTCCACTAATTAACAAAAGAGTAACTGCACCGGTAAGTCTTCCACCACAACACGGACAAGCACATTTTTGGGAGTGGGGGGAGCATTTCTTCTTCCTATTGTTTTGTTTAAAGCTAACTTAAATCCTATACAGATAGGAGCTTGGACTGTCTGGCGAATGCCTTCAGCTAACTATTTAAAACAATAAGCATGAAAGCTTAATTTTCAAATCAGAGGGCTCAATTAAGAAATTGGCATTCAGTTGTGACATTCAGAAATGCGATTACCGAGGAAACTCCTATAAGCTAGCATGCTCGTTAACATACGAGCTCATTTAAAAGCAGGGAATCATTATCTTTCAGAGGCATAAGAATGCAATATTTTCAGAATGAAAGGCAACAACACAGCGCTCTAGCTCTGTCCCCATTCTCTGCCTCTCCACCTATTTTGCTTCTCCATTCCCCCACACTAACTGTTGCGTGAATTTGTATGTACGTGTGTGTGTATGTTATCTGGGTGGTCTCTATGCCCTCAACTACAAGTTCAAAACAATTTAAAAAAACCCTGCATGGTGCCCCCCAGCCTCCCTCCTGAGAGCCACGTTTGGTTCTATGGTAAAACTAAACTAAGTTCTTGCTCCAGGTACTTGCTCCACACACCTGCAGCTTTTCTACCCTTCTCTCCCACAGACTCTGAGGTACTCTGGATGGTGCTGCCATGGGTGTCACTGGAAAGCATGCAAAACAGAAGCAAGGGGTGAAGGGCTACTCTCCTCTTTGCATGCATCAAACACCTTGCTCATCTGAAATTCACTACAGCTGTGTCTTGATAATACGAACAACAAATATAATGTAGAAACAGCATGGGTGAATGAGCGAGTGGGTTAATGAGCACAGAAAAGGTGCAGCACTGCACAGGGAAGGAAAAGCAATACCTGTCGGACAATTAGGGTGCCCTCCTTAGAAGGAGTCAAGGCAGGTTCACTCTCCACATCATCATGGACAATCATGGTTTTCACTGACTCTGTTTCTCCATTGCTCAAGTTCAGCGTTGACCTATTTGCCAGACAAGAAATAACGCGAGTAAGATAACAGCACTTGTGCCCTAGCTTTCACTGCCCCACACCAAGGCACACCCAAAATTAATTTATATTATGACCAGAGTGGAATATTTACATAACCTGCCTAGAGAAGCTTCTTTGTTAAAAAAAAAGTCAGTCCTTTGTTAAACATCACTTCTTGTTTTATAACAAATCAAGGGAGAAGAGGGAATGGATATAATTTCTAGAAGCCTACTTTTTGAAAGGAGTACCCTCACTGTTTGAAAATGTGAACATACAAGGCTGTGGTGTCTTGCTTACAGACTGTTGTAAGCTGAAAGAACTAACATACAAACCGAAATACTCAAAGTCCTTTTCCTTCAACCTCCTAACAGAGAAAACAGAAGCAAAACAGTTAGAACTAACACTGCTCGAACATCCTCTGGTCCAGAAGTAGATTCGTCTGCTCCTTCTTGTTCCATATCATCATCTTCCTCATCCGTCGTCCCTGACTCCTCACTTGAGGATGAATAATCCGTTACTTTATGTGGAGGTCGCACATCCTCTACCGCTCGCAATTCCTTTGCCAATGCAGTTAAATCCTGATGGGAGAGGAAGGAAAAAAACTGATGTTGCAAGGAAGAGAGAAGAGTTTTCAAAAGAAATCCACAGGATTAGTGCCTAACTTGGCTCACTTGTCCACTGCTGTGTTTCCACAGTCCCAGAAGTATTGCTTCCTTTGATTTATTCATTCCTGATAGTTACCGAAACTCACTTTCTGATAAATTAAAGCATCAAAAGAGTCAACCTAAGGATGCCTTGCCATATTATAGAAAAATGTGCATACCCTGACTCCAAACTATCCTGATTATGACTTCAGTTTATCCCATTTTACCATCTGAAGGGACATACACAAGCACCTGGACCCACTCTCACACAGTAGTTGACTGTCACAGTTCATTTTCCTAAACTCTGCAGGTTAATAGCATCCACCACAAGAAATCTAGGCAGCAAGGTAACAGAAAGGGCCTAAGACTTATTGAGTCACCCAAGGCACAGCCGCAGACAGCTGATCTCCTTGAAACCTTTTGATCTGTTTCCAGTTGCAGGAATCCATGCTAAGGAGTTCACCTGAGAAGTCAGATTCATTAGCACCAGCTCAGTCGCACACGAACTGTCAAACAGTATGGGACATAAGCTGATTTTCTGTCTGCAGCTTGGAGTGTGGGTAAAACAGGTTTGCAGTCAGTATAATCTGCTCTCAATTGTGTAGCTGTGCTTTATTTAGCTGAATACAGTTTACAGCAAATACTTCACACATTATACTATCAGAAGTGAAGGACCAATCTCTATGTTTCTTTAAGAAAGCAGCTTTGACAGACTTGGGTGCTATTGCAGTATCACAATGGCAGGAGAAAAAAGCTTTAAGGAAAGTTGGAAATACAGTGAAAACCCACTGTGATCCCCCAGATACAACTGGACATAGAGCTGTAATCAGCTGTTAACAGCAGCCAGATAAAGAAAATGTCAGAAATCTTTCACAGAAAATAGCAACAATTTAAGGTCTTACCACTTCTCCCTGCACCATTCAAGCCCAGCATCGGCGCATTCAGGTCAAATGCACGATCATTGGTCCAGCCCCAGGAAGGAAGCACAGGATCGAAAGAGAGAAAGGCAAAGGTTAGGAAGGAAGAAGACCAAAGAGCAGAAATCAGTTCCAGAAGCAGAGTCAATTCCAATGTTTACAGCACTGTGATGTGTGCAGGCAATTGCAGAGCCCAGGACATGCTGCTAGGCCCACAGATACAAGCTCTCAACTCAAGCTGAAGTTCACCCGCAACGGCACCGTGAACAGAAGGCTCACACTGTACTTTTCGTGGGCCTACCTGAAAGAGAGAGGGGACGGGGAAAGCGGGTGCAACTTACAGCAGGTTTGATAGGTCTGAAGACTTCCTTTTTCTCTTCAGGCTTTTTCGGTGCACTTTCATGACGCTGCGATGGCGAACCCTCTGATTTGGATGATGCTGCATATGTCAAGACCCCAAAAAGAACACAGAACAAAACCAATTAAGCAGGGAGCTAAAATAGGTTTTCTTACTTCACTTTAGAGTGCGGAAGAGAGGCGAGAAGGCTATCAGGCGGTGCCTGACAGCAAGACCTGAGTTTCACTGGTTCACTATTACATTGTCCCTGCAGGACTATACAAAAAACCACCTTGAGCTGTGATCTGTAGGGGTGCAGCTGACCTATGACGGAAGCCAAAGTAAACTGTCACAAAGTTGTAAATCAAAGAGGGTAACTTGAGTTTGGCCAAAAGCTGGAAAACCTGCATCAGCATCCAACATAACCCAGCTGAAGACCTATCCGTAGCAGTCTGCACCCCATCAACAACCACCAAGGTGATAGGCAACAACCATAAAAATGTGCCCTTGCACACATGAGGAAGGGAGCTACGAGAGCATGGAGACTGGGCTGTATGCACACAGGAAAATGCAGCAGTGACTGGATATGGACCAAAGAAGAATGAAACATTTTCACAATGACTTCTCTGCCTACCATCTGTTCCAAACAAGGACATACAGCCAAGGGGGTACTGGAAGCTAACCCCTCTTTGATACTGCATGCTCAAAGGTTTTTCCCAGTGAGGGTTATCATCATTCATTATTGAGTATTTCACAACTTAATAAATTTAGAAATGCTATGTTGCGAAAGGTGGGAGAAGGACTTACATCTCATCCGGAACCGCTATGAGAGCCAGGGTGGGAGCCAGGCTGTGAGCCAGAGTTGCTTGAACCCGAAGAACTGCCACTGCCCGGCCTTGGTACGAGTTTCTCCACCCTTTCCCACAACAGACGAGGCTCTATATTGCTGTGTGAGGGAAAGGAAGAAAGTCTTTGTCACACACTTCAGTTTCAGATTCCAGTTTCTAAACTCAAACATCACTCTTCTTCAGTGTTTTGCTAACAACTCATCTGAAAGAATACTTAACACTAAGCCGAGGGCATCAGTGAAGCTTCACGACCCAGGCAGTGGCTCCCTTTGAAACACCTATTACCTTATTTAGGATGGTAAAAAAAAAAGTTTAGGCGGGTGTAAACTATTCTTTTTATTTGGAACTGGCTACTTGCCGTTCTTACATATCTAACCTGAAGTGGACAGTTCTCTGTCTGCATGCAGCAGGTCTAACATTGGCTCAGAAGTGCCTTGGCCACCCACACCCAAGCCAAAAAGACAGCACTGCCTGTCCCTCTCAGAATACCCTCACCCCTGTCCGGTGAGGCAATTCCAGGGCGGCCTGTCCATGTTGCTTTGCTGAGCTCTGGAGGCAGCCCCTTCCTCCCCCTTCCCGACCTCAGATGTTCCGAGTCACAGCTCATGGACGCTTCTCCCCTCTTAAAGTCTGGTTCTGGCTCAGAGGCCAGAAAGTTTCTGAGACCTCTTCACTTGAGATGTTACAAACACTTCTGCTGCCAGTAATCCCCACAGTACACCCAAGATGACCTGTTACACCAAAAGGCAAAATGTTCATGAATGGTCACATTTTTTCAGAAATCTTAAGAATATTTTGAAATTATTGCTAAAGATACAGGGCAAGCCACTCAAAGGAGGAGAGGGAAGAAGAAATTTTGCCAGTGTTTGTTGGCACATGTGCTACACCAAGGGAAATTAGTATTAATCATTACTGAAAAGGGATCCAAACTCATCTTCCTTTCACGTCCAACAGACAATGCCAAAAGCTCTCTGGAAATGCCTGGCTTCCCATGAGCCTTTTCCTTCCAATTCAAGAAAGGCGAGGACATGTAGGCTTACAAACCTCGTGGAGTTTCTTTGACCTGCTTGGTTATTTTGCTGCCCACTGCCCTGCAGTGGAGAATCACGGCGGGACAGAACTGGCGATCGGGACGTTGTTCTCACAGGCACCTTGGGAGAAAAACGGTTGTGTTAAACCCTTGAAGAGGACAGAGAAAAGAGGAAGACTTAAACCTCTCCTGCTACAGAACATATTCTTAAGATTTTAACGACGCTTAATTCTAAGTCCAAGCTAGCATCAATGACCATAAGCAATAAACAAACATCCACAAAATCAAGAGCCTTAGTTGGGATGCTGTTCAGATTTTGAAGAGAACTCAAAGTTTAGTCTTAACATTAAGGAGTGTTTAATAGTTACCACACAAAAACATACATGCCCCGCTACCCTCCAACTACTGAGACATTTAAAAAGAATATGGCATTTTGACTGAAGCAGGGGAGGCACAAAGCAATTTGCTGAAACAGTATGAGAATTAGGAGAATAAGCTCAGGGGAACCAAACAAATGCCCGGGAATGGATCAGCAGAAGGCAAAGACTGGTGGGGGAGCAAGAATATACTCAGAAGCAGCAAATCCCAGTGGATGGGGGGGGTGGGAAGGGAAGAGGAGGAGGAAATATATTGAATGTTTCCTTTTTGTTCAGTTCCATCTCAATTTTAAATATGTGTGTGATTCATAGTTTGGGTTGCTAACAGATGAGGAGGAAAATTAACTCTGAGCAATAACCTCAGGGATATTTTAAATTCTTTCCTGAATATGGTAATGATTTGTTAACTTTGCATAATAAATTGTCTCTCTGAAATAGCTGCATTCTCTAAATAATTGCCAATTTTATATGAAGCTTCAATATTGTACTTAAGATTGATTATCATTAACCCATTGACTGAACATCTACATTGTGATCTACCTTCCAAAATACTGTTACCAATGCTGGCACAAGGGCACGGTCTTCCTAGTGCCCAGGGTATCACATCCTTAAAAAAATAATAATTAATAATAATAAAAAATAGCACACATCTGTCTTTCTACTCCTTACCCTTGGAGGCACCTCGTCACTGTCTGATCTAGCCCAAGCCTTTTGGGTGGGGTCGGGTACCTCCGACTTAGAGTCAGAACTCTGATTTAGCACTTCACTGCGTGAAGGTGGATATGGGTCCTGGGAACGAAGATGGTGATGAGCAAATTTGGGAGAAGGGTCACTGAAGGAATGGGATCGCGAGACAGGGGAAACATTGTTCTTGAGAGATGCCAGATGGGACCACTGTACCTTACAAGAAAACAAAACATAAAACATTCAATGCGCTCAGTATAACTGGCTTTCCAATTAACACAGAATAAAGGCAGGTGGGGCGGGCAGAGACAAATTGGTTATGGCATTAGGTAAGCGTGGGGTGGAATCAATGCACTTAAAAGCAAGGCAAGCGCCCAAAGAACGTAACAGACTGAAAATACAGCACATAACGCATTTTTTGTGAGATACGCTCTCCACATACACGTACACTGGTGCCCAGAAGAAAAAGGGACCGAGTATCTGCACCGTGAGCCTGAGTCCAAAGGCCACTCAAGACAGAAGTCGCCTTCCATTCGCTGGTCTTCAGTGGGCTTTGGTCAGGTCTCATGGCAGCACTGGTGGGCTGGGAAATTTGAAGCAGATATCCAATTGAAGAAATGTACAAAATTAAAGAATGCTGTAAAATGTGCAAACCGACAGACGTTTAGGTTACCTAATAAATTCAGGAACTAGATACAGTTCCAAACTTTTGGAGAAAGACTATAACACAAAAGCCTTTATTCCTTTACAGTCATTGCAATATATATACAAAAAACCAATCATAATATATATTGTATATAGTATACATATGTACAATGCATATTATACTTACACCATATATGTACCATACACTGTACATATATACATATTTATACACAAACTAAGCACACACGTACACGCACACATATTCAGTTACACATACTAAGAAGGCACAACAGTGACTCCAGAGTTAAAACTCCACTGGGATTTCCACTGAAATCCTTATTGACCCTTCAGCCTACTCCCTCCTTGTGCATAAACCTGCATTTCAGAGTTAATTTCTGAAAAAAAAGGAGGAGGAAAGGTCATAACTGAGGAACATACTGTTTTCACACCTAATAATTAAGCAAAACTTTGCTTTCAATCCCCTTTTCAGTAGGCTGGCTGTATTTGTTTTTATGTGATTATTATTTCCGCAATTTTAATACACACAGCTGTTGAAGAGCCTGATTATCCTTAATATGAGTGGAAGACCCACACTTGAAAAGTAACTGGCACAGAGAGCATGAAGATACAAGTCCAATATTTTGAAATAGTCATAGAGGTTTGAATAAAAGCCAGGAATTAATGAGTAAGAGATGAAGTTCTGTCCTCATTTCTCCCACTCTCCCGTCTGTTCAAATCCTCCTGTTGCCCAAAAGGGTTGCAATACCTAGTCACAATCAGGAATGGTTTTAGCTTGCACTGTCATTAACAGGCTTAATTTGGGAGAAGAAAATTCTGCATGGAAACAGAGGAACTGAATGCAGAACGATACTGTTTAATTTAGCATATCTAAATCGCTCAGGATTTATGGGCTATGTCTAAGTTTTAGACAAAGGTTACTTTTTAAATTCATGCTGTGATTCCTATGAGACACAGACACCAAGATCTGGAGGCTCTTCATTAAAAAACAACAGAACGATGGCAGCCACGCAGCTCAGTAGCTTCAACCTCTTTTTAATTTTCCAGGGGTGGTACAGAGCTCTATTTAGCAAGTGTAGGCCTACTGACAACAAACTTTCTTTTCTTAGTCATGTTTTGTAAATCTCTTTGAAGCAGTGTTCATACTATTAAAAACCACTTGTTTAGTTAGCTTTTTCTGCAAGAATTTAAAAAACCTTCTTTCCTGAGCATCCTTTTTGGTAATAAGTATCTTGCACGGATCAAATTCTGAATTGTCAAAGTGTACTGCAACCGTCACCAGTGTTTAGCCCACCGTTACACTGTTGTACAGACAATAACAGAATGCAACAGTTCTAATCTAGCTCTAACATTTAAAAAAACCCAAACCCCAAATACCCACTAAAACAAACAACAAAACCACAAATCCACCAGTTTATCAATAAAATAAGCAAAAATAGACAAAGAGCAACTCTACTGAGTAAGCTGCTTTGTGTAACAGTGCTACTCTTTACATAAGGCTTTCTAAGTGCCAAGAGCTGCAAATTTGAAGGAAACATGTTGGGACTTCTGCATTTCCTCCAGGCTCACCAAAATTTTCCTGGGCACTTACCTGGGGCTCCATCGGCCTCTGCAGGGCAGGCTGAGCAGGTTCTGAGTTTCCATTGGAAAAGGACTCTGATCTTGAAGGCACTGGTGGCTCCAACACTTTGCCCATCTGTTTGGACTGTGCTTCAGGGGAGCCTTGATTAGTTTTTCTAAATCTCTCCTCCACCTAAGCCAAAAAAAAAAAAAGGAGGTTAAGCCTGGAGTCAATAAAACCAATTACAGTAGAAACATGACAGCGAGTACCACCTTTCCTTTACCATAAAGAAATCAAATACATTTAAGGCTTGGCAGGATTTTTTCCCTACTGCTTTCACCAGCACTGTAAAACACAGAGTGAGCTACACCAAAGTGGCAAGTATGCCAATATGGAAAATCCCTTATAGGAAGAAAGGATAAAGCAGCCAGTAAGATGTGAAGTGCTATGATGAAAGACCATTATGGGGCTTCTTCCTGCCTAGATTAGTTATTATCCATCAGTACTTTCCTCATAGGCAATAAAAAGGATATATGAAAACAGAAAGAACTTTACAATATAAAAGTACGTTTCCCATTGCTATCCCTTACTGCAGTTACCCACCTTACTCAGCCCATGCTATCTGATTATCTCCTTTCCTGTGCTTGTCTCTTTGGCAATGCAAGAAAAGATAGGATATGCTTCTCCACCCGATAATACTGGAGGCTGTTTGGCTTTAGGTACGAAATTGTAGGACTGGTTGTCCTCTCTCTTACCAGATAGTCCCAACACGACCTCAGGGGCTGCAGAGAACAGCCCTAGCAGCTTGTTTCTTGTCCTGAGGGAGGTCTAGAAGTGATCATACACTAACCTCGAGAGCTTGCTGAGGGGAAGACTAAGTCAGAAAGTGCTCAGTCCTCAAAAGAACATCAAGCAAGGTCCCCATGCAGAAACGTCGCCTCTTCCAAGGCCGCAGCCTTGCGAACAAAGCCAGAGGTGCGGAGGGCAAGAGACGGAGGGAGGCTCCAGGCAGAAAGGAAATATCCTGCCATTTCCTAAGACGGTCTGTTGCTGGAACCAGGGCAGCATGTGCGTTTCTGCCAAGGGAGCCGCCTGAGGAATGCTAAACTCCCAGCATTTTATCAAAGCATCAAAGAAAGATCAAACTGGCAGCTTGGGCTGATTTAATTTGTTGAGATTCTCCTCAAAAGATTTGCTTTAACCCTTCTGCCTGAAGCACAAAATCAGTATTGGGGTGGTTTCCTCATTGTTCCCTAGCAGTGATGGTCTGGAGAGACTGGCTGTTCATATACCCATGTCAGAAGACAGAGGCAAGTTTCCAGGGCTCCTCAGATGAGCTGCTTTACAAACCCAACCTGCCTCTACTTTCCAAAATTTCAGGACCATAACAGTTTGCCTATGGGAATAAGCAGACAAGCTTCTGCCAGGTCTACACAAAATACACCATGTCTTGGGAAGTACAACAATAATGTTGTGTATTGGGAAGTACAACAATCATGGAGGCAGCATCTTCACCATACAATCATTTTCACCACCATGTTCAACTCCACAGAGCTATCCTTTGAAGTTTAAAAAACAGGCCAGACTCCTTGTTATGAATAGAACAAGGAAAAGCCCCAAGTCCTTCTGTCTGAAGGAGCAGGCTTTCATGTCTCTAGCTGTAGATAGGAGGTTTCTTCCACAAAGCACATAAACTGAACATGTCACATGTCCTTAAAATTAGGCAAGAAGTGGGAAGGAGATAGCAAGTGCATTCCTGGATAGAAACAAGCCCCGTTCCAGTCATTTGACTGTCTGGACCAGAAAACGGTATTAAGCCTCATTTCTTGCTCTAAGCTCCCTATTGTTTCTCAGAGGCAATCTCAGAAGTCCTTTTCCTTATCACCTCACTGCTACAGCAAAGGGAAAAAAACCTAATCACCATCAGATTTTGCCAGAACAGGAAAGTTAGTCCACTTCAGTTTATCATCCTGATGGTCAGCATCTCTGTAGACGGAAACTTTCTCTGGAGAGCAGTGTGCCTGAAAGTATGAGGCACAGAACACTCGCTCCAATTCGCTATTTTATGTCGAGAATTACATCAGAGTTAATGCCTGCTGTTAAGATTAACTAGTGTCACTCCCACTGCCAGGCACCGAGATACTTTGGCTATAATTCTACCACACTTTTAAAAAAGAATATTACACAGCAATCTCTGGGAACATCTGACTACTAACACAATTCTTCTGTGCCTTCACTTTACTCCTTCTAGCTAGAGCAATCACAAAAGAAAAAGACTATGAGAGAAAAATAGCTGAGTCAGTGGTTCCACTAAAGGATGTAACACTTTGAATCTTCAGGAGTTTCTCTCCTTCTCAACTCTGAAAGGAAAAGAGGAGACGAGGAGCAGATAAGGCTCTGCATCCCTCCAAAGCCAGCCTTCAGGTTGGACAGGAGTGCTGGACTGGCACTGTGCTTTCACCAAGATGGGCCAGGAACGCGCAACAAGGACAGGAAGGCTGGTTCCATGCCTGCACCACCACATACCGGACAAGTCCGAACTTCTTCCAAGAGAGAGACATACCAGATACTTCAACCATCAAGAGGAATAGATGAGATAGCACAAACACGGTTTATGAAGAACTTGGACAACAGCATCTACGAGCAAATGAGTCTGCGCTCACCAAGCCCAAGAGCAATACTTCAAAGGCAATGAAGCACTACTGGACGAAGGTGGACTGAAAGCTATTCTATCATGTTCAACAGCCCCAAGGATTTTTTTTTTGTTCTTGTTCCAAAAGGTATTTACCTAGTTCCCACATGCTGGTGAGGAAGGCCATTAAGAGCTTTGACCAGCATTGCCCAGTCTGGTGGTTTGTGGGCAGTATGGTGCTCAAGGGAAACGTAAGAGTAAGCCTGCTGAAAGAGAGCCAAGTATGCATCAAAGCAGCAATTACTTGCTTAGCAATGTTACCTGTGAACCAGTGCAGACAAGGGACCACTCAGGGAAACAAACAGCACTCTGATCATTTCAGATCGGCTTGTGAGTGCCCAAAGTCCAAGAAGGCAGCACCGCGGAGTTTTACAAGAGCAGGATGTGATCTCAGAAGAGACTACTTAACACTTCAAAAATAAAACTAATGAAATTCAGGTTTGCGTTCATCAGAAGGAAATTTTCAAAAGCATGAGCTAAGGCACCAAATGTGTAAAAAGGTGCTTGGTGCAAGCACCCCTCATAGGTTCGTGCTTTCCAATTGCCTCCCAATTTCCAATCACCAGTACTTGCCAGAGACACAGATCACCAACTGCACCAATGCTTCCTATGAAAACATGTCTGATGAAGTGCAGATGAGATTAACTTCTGAACGTGATGCTTCTAAAACCAGGTCGCCTCTGTCTGCAGCCTTCCAGAATCTTCTTCCACACTTTATAGCACAAACCTCTGAACTCCAATGATTGCAGAAGAAGTACTCAGAAGTAGCCTTTGGGTTTGGAAACCAGCGGCCAACATTTTAAAACACCCTGCCCCTTATGAGTGACGCTTTGCCCTATGATTGTACTATAGCAGAACTGCAGTCACAAGGATGCCAACAGGCAGAGGAGCAGGGAACAGATTCCTGCCCACAAGCAGGACTTACCTCACGCGCTCTTTCAGCAGGCTCATAGTGGGATTTTGGCTCAGGGGTATGATAGCTTTGTTTATTTCTTTCTTGCTGCTGCTGCTGCTGTTGCTGCTGCTGTTGCTGCTGCTGGTTTTTCACTTGTTCAAGCTTCTGCGTGGCTATCGTGCTGCAGCGAGAGGAGGTAGGCTTGCTCCTGCTGCAACTGCCGCTGGAGTCGCTCCGCTTGTCGGTGTTCCTCCATCTCTCGCCATCTGTATTCCTTTGAGAGAACGCGTGAGTAATTCAAGACATGACATTGACTGTACGGTGGATGTGTCCCTATCCATCCCGTTAAAAAAAAAGGCACCCTTCTGGTTGTTGTTGGTTTTTTTGGTTTGGTTTTTTTTTTGGTTTATTTCATTGTTTAAGTGCAACCGAGAGCTAAGTTAGACCAATATGGCATGTGTCTCATGTTGGGAAAGTCGAGAATGTACTGCTAAGCTTGACATGATTGGAGAGTTATGTCAAAACTGATTTTTATTAAAGGAAAAAAAAAAAGTTATTTATACTAAATCCAGTGTAAAGTTCATAAAACAATGATTTAGACCAACACTAGGCCATTGTATCCTGGGGTGGATTTACATATCATGTGTGCTTTTGATCTGCAACATAAGCACTCTAGTTCTTCACTGAATGCCAAGGTCTGTTCAGAAACTCGACCACCACACCAGAACTGTTCCACTTTAACATAAAGCCTCCTCTTACTGCCCAGAAAGCAGTGTGACCATACAGCACTTCTCATATGTGCCTGTCAGCCCACGACCCTAGCATAAATGGCCTTTTAATCAAGCTCCTTTGTTGTCATACTGTCAGTGCAGCTGTGCCCGACTGAGGGAAGCCTAGGACTGGCCGGATAAATGGATCCTATAGCTACTGAACAAAACAGATACAGTGCTTTACCAGTAACATGGCCTGCTCCTGGAGCAGCTGCTGCTGTAGAATTTCCAAGTGCCGCTGCTCCTCTTCTAGCTGTCGCCTGATATACTCCTGTCACATAGAAATTACCCAGCAATAAATTTATTCAAAAGGAATGCATCAGAACCCCCTGGGTGGAACACGACACGCTACTTCCCCAGTTCAGCTTTAACGAGAAACGCACTTCAGGATGGATTAGTGCCTGCAGAACAATTTAGGGAGCCCTGCCTCCTCAGTATCGGATTTTGGCCCCTTCTGTTCTGAAATTTGCACTCCTGCAAATGCTGCCGGCACGGGCCAGAGCTCATTGACATATTTTGGAAGTGGTTTCAAGAAGCAGCAAAATGCACTTGAAGGTTTTGGAAAGTTAAAACACAGCAAGTCTGACTCAACACAGCCAATACAAAGTCACATGCAAGTTGTATTAAACATTAGTTTGTTGCACTGGTGCGATGAACTGTTAGCAACAGCTAGAGCCAGGCGTAGCGTAGGCAGGCCTGGAGAAAGCTCCCCCCGAGGGGCTCTGCCAAGTGCAGTTGGGACCTGCCCTGCCGTCTCCCCTGCCGCCCTCACCAGAAGCTTCTCCTGAGCAGACGCTGCCAGCCTTGCTGAATTATGCGATGGTTATGACACAAACAAACATCCACCAAGAAACAGATATTAGACCAAACTCGCTTGCTCTTGCGATCTAGCCATCTCTTCACCTGCAGCCTCAAGAGGTCGAGAGGTTTACCCGCTGCTTTGCTTGACCCCCTGGAAGAACTCAAACCCTGAAGCACCAAACCCAAGCCGGTAACATCCTATCATGCAATTAATGGAAGTATGTAACATGTGCATGCGCACACACACAAGCACACACACGCGCACACACACACATTTACAGTGTATGCATAAATTAATTAATGGATCAGTGATACAGTGATGGGAGCTATAGAAAGTCTTGTGACAGACTGATGAGATACACTATACTGTTGATACGCACATTGGCTGAGCCATAGTTTGGATTAACAAAAATTCTAAGAGGGGGCATGTCTTTTCTTCTAAAAAAACAAACAAAAAAAATAAATTCAGAGTGGTTCAGCTTGGCCACATCAATTAACCGTTTGTCATTATTGGCACTGTGCGTAATTTGCATTTCAACAGTCTAAAAAGCAGCTGGGGGAATACCCAGTGTCTGCCCAAAAGCAAATTGCTGTGCTGTAATTAGAGATTTTCCATATATTTATTCCCATTGGTTAGTCTTCTCTCCTTTTGACTCAAAAATCTTTGAAATACATACAAACACAATAAAATTCCCCAGTAACATGATCATCAATGATCTCAAATACAGTGACTTTACATAAGAAAAAATTAAAGTATATCAGGCCAAAACCAGCATTCCTGAAGTTAATGGGAACTTTACAATCAGTCTCTAGGACAGTAGTTTTGGCCGTTTATTTGGGATCAGTATTTTGCAGTAGGACATGCACAGTAATTATTACCCTGATTATCACCCTGAATGAAGTTTGTAAAGGATTTTAAAACATGCAGATTTCATGCATAAATATAGCAGTTGAATTTGACAGTTTAAAAGGTTTCTCACCTGTACTTTCAATGTATTAAGGGCACACTGACACAACTGAAGATATCCTTGTTGCCTGAACTGGCATTAGGTTATTAGAGCTGATTTTAAATAGACAAGAGAGGGAGGCTGCATATTTAAGTTTTAGGAAGGAAAACCCTCTGCAGCTCAAAGGTTCCATCTCAAATTCAGAATATTCAAAGTTTATGACGAGTCTCTGACCAATTCCGGGTGCCAGAAGCTGACACGCAACAGAGCTGCCCTTCTCTGGGAGGCCTTCTGAACAGGGGCATGTCCTGCAAGAACCACTGATCCAGCAAGACAAGCCTAGAAACGATTTTCAGCCCCAGTGATGATTTCGCCAATTCTGATGGTTTTTAGTCAAGCCCAGGGGCATGAGCTGAATTTAGAATGAGTACCACAACAAGATTTCTTTTTTCGAGGGAATACTGAGGCTGCCAGAATTTTCCGTAAAGCCCTACAATCTATGTTAGTGCGTTTGCTGTCAGAGATAACAAAGATGAAAGGGTCAGTGCTAGGTTGCCTCTAAGCTGCTTTAGGCTTACTAATTTTTTAAAAATTAGAATTTAGAAGAAACAAACTTATTGAGCATATATCTGTATCATGGACTCACCTGCTCCCTTTCTACCCTCCTCTTTTCCTCCTCTGCTCTTCTTCTCTCTTCCTCTTCCTTACGCCTCCTCTCCATTTCTTCCAGACGTCTTTTTTCTTCCTGTTCTCTCCGCCTTTGCTCACGCTCCTGTTGCCTTCGAGCTTCCCGTTCTCTTCTTTGTTGCTACAAAAAGGGAAAGCAAACCACAAAGTTTTACTTTTGTTGTTATCAAAGAAAGAGGTGGGGTTGTTCACTGTGAAGAGAGGGATTTACCAGGACTGGCAAGCTCTGCAACTGAGTGACAAAACATTTTATGCAAGTGTTCCACCAGGAAACACACTCATATCCAGCATACAACTATCCCTAAAAGCAGCCTCGCTTACTCTCTCTGGTTTCTTCAGGCACACACACAAAGTCACATACCATATTCCCGACAACTGAGGTGTGGAAGTTCACCACTGCTCTTCAAGAGAGGTTCACACTGAAATCTCAATCTTTGAACAGCTGTTGAACTCAATCAGTGACAATTTTCTTGACTTCAACACATTATCTAAATGTTGCCAAAAAGGAATTATCAGCCCCCCTGAATCAGCTAAAACTCAAATGACAGCTATCTGAGCTTTCAGTAAGCAGCTTCTCTCTTAACACAATTCATGGTCTGCTAAGAATTTGGTGGTGTTGGCCCAACAACGAAGCTCGATTCAATGCACTGCCCACAACTTTGCCTAAGAGAGAAGGCAGGCTGACCAAACGCACCTCAGCCCCTCCCACAACATCAAAAGCACCTATATGTAAAAGAGGAAAAACAGCTGAGCTAAGCTTTTACACTTACACAGATAAGCTTCCACGCATGACCCAACTACAAACTGGTGCTGGTAAGTCTGCTTAAGTCTGGAAAACAGCTCCAGAAAGTATGAACTGACTCATTTGTGTCTAAAGAGCATCACGTATGACTTCAGAGACATTTTAAATGCCCATACAGTCGTGACCAACTCTTCCTGCACTTCTACAGAAGCATCCAGCTACTCCACCTACCTCAAAATCCCAGGCAGCCTCCCACAACTGCCTAAGTGTCAAAAGACCCAGCTGTCTCCTATTCAACCATCAACTGGGAATAGCTCTACAACATTCACTTCCACTACAGATTTCTAGAATATGCTAAAAACTTACAGAAGAAATTTAAATGAAAAAAAGCACACTCAAATTTAATCCCAAGGACAAAATGAAAACCTACATTGGTTATTCCTTTTCACATTTAGGTTAAGGTTAATACTATCACCAATTTCTGTTGAAGCAAAGCTGCCACAGATTTGCCAGTCTTAAGGCACTCCAAGTAGTCTTGCAAGAGCACTCAGAGAAAGCTTTTATTCGAGTTCACAAATCCAGTTCCTGGTGTGCGTTTCCCAGTTGTGCTCAACTGAACAAGCAAAGGCCAATCTACGCTCCCTGTGTTATTTCACGGGATGAGCGTTCTCTGCCCAGCACATTACCCTGCGTGACTATGAAGTAATTGAAAGCTCAACAACCTTTTCCATCTTCTGGAATCGATACTGACATGACAGTGGAGAAGAAACACTGGGGAAAAAATAGATGGTTAAGACTTAGTAGTACTTAAATAAAACAGGGTGCTTTCCAATTCTCTTTAACTAGCTGCAGTGTTGGGAAAAATGCAACTGTCTTGAAGACCACTCTACAAATACACTCACTCTGTAACTATGATGCCTGCCTTCCTTGCCCATTGCATCATCCCGGGTTCATTACCACCTTCCCGTGCCACAAAGACATAAGCTCTTTTCTCCCCAACGTTTTCTGTATCTTCTCAGAAACACAGCTTCCTTGCTCGTGCATCTCCTCTCCCACCTAAATCCATCTACCAGCCTTTTCCCTCTTGCTTAAGCAAGCTCTCTTCCATGAATGTAGATATAAAAATAGCAAAAGTGCTGCAAGGCAGCTATGGCATGCGGTGCATTTCATAGCTTTCACTGCTTCCCCTTCTTCATTTTTTAAGCACTGTAAAAGGATTAAGTAGGCACTTTTATTTCTGAATATACACATCTGTGTCAAACAACTTCTATATTTAAGTCAATATATTCAGGTGCTTCTTGGCTAATCAAGTCTGACAGGCTCTTTGTTTAAGAAAACTACGATGTGAAGTACAATAATTCTATCGCCCTGAGGATGCAAGAGACAGCACACTACTGACTGGTTAATATGCACATTTATCAACTCAAACACTTCTTAAACATATGAAGCTTGTCTGTCTAACAATATTATGTTGACACTGTTAAGTGGATATTATTGCACATCTTGGGATGGCATCATTCTCACTACAAGAAACATGGACAGAGCTTAGGTCTTTTGGATGAAACAAATTCATCGCTTCTTGAATCAATGCAGAAGTATTCAGTAATAATTATAAATAATTGAACTTAATATGAGAAAAATAAGTTACAAATGGACTAAGAGAGCTGATTTCCCATGGCACCATGAAATAAACAAAATCAGTTGTTAAAAGATCAGATTTTTAAGCAAACCTGAAGCCAGATTGCTAGCTCAGCACCAACAGTAGATACTTATTACCCAGCAAAAGAGAAAAAAAAAAAAAAAAAAAAGGAGCCTGCACAAACACCCTGAGTGATCTGCTTATTCGCAGCCCCAGCCATACGAGAAAGGTTCCACTTCCTTTGCACACGGCCTTTGAAACCCAAGTATCAAACTACTGGCCGCTAACGAAGTGGAATTTACTTTTAACGAGCCCAGGGAATGGAAACCTACAGTGACAAGCATCTCCTGGGTCCTAGTCTACACCTTGCCAAAGTGATGGCAAAGCTGGTTGGTGGCAAGCCGTCATTGATGTAAGCTGGCTTCAGAAGCAGCCCTTTAGCTGACTTCCTACCATCCTTCTGTTGGCACAAGGTTGCCTTCCTGACTGCCTCTAGCAACATTTCCATGAGGACAGCCCTGGTCACCACGCTCCTTAGGCTTGCCCAAAGGAGGGGAGAGGGACAGCAAAAACCATTTAGTTAAAATCAGTGTCAGTTCTGTTTAGAAAAATTGGGCTTCTGAATTTAATAAGTGTGCTTGTTAGATATTATAGATATTATAATCTTTTTCATGCACTTCAAAAAAGGCTTGATGTAAAACACTGTTGCCCAGTAGACAGCAGGTATAGATCTGGATTCACTGAAATGATGGACACATATCCAGATCTTCTTTAGTTGGATATGGTACTACCAACTTTCTTGTACATGTCAGATGAAAAGCTTATTTTCAAGGAGCTAACTGTTAACCAGAAGGTAAGGGCAGGACCTCTTCAAAGAAATTTGAGAGATGCCAAAACAGAATTTTGACAGAGCCCATACTGCCTCAAATTATGGCATTTCACAAAATTGGCATTTACTACGCCAACACCGAAAAAAACTGTACAGAAAATACAGTGTCAATACTCTGGCTCCTTGTCCAGTTTGAGGGTGCATTAATGATGATCTTGTAATGGAACCTGACGTCTCCAAACTGGAAGGCCATGCAGTAGAACACGATTTACCAGGAGAGGGCAATGCAACTACACATGCAGTTGGTGTATACCAACAAACTCAAGACCTCATTCATACAGTGAAATGCTGAAGATAAATACAGATATTCATAAAATATTATTACTCTGTCATATGCAGATGAAGGTTGATAAACACATATAGTAATGATTTCTTTCACAAAGAATTAGGTAGCCTGGTATCAGTTTAGGAAGAGGATTGGAAAGATTAATAAGGAGACTTTTGTTTTGCCCACACTAGAGATAAACCAGAAGTAGAACTTCTTACTCAGTATCACTCCAAACTGCAAGTAATTCAAATTAAGTAGATACAAATAATCTCCCCTTCTGTAAAGGAAACAAAGCCCTGGCAAAAATCGCCTGAGGGTACACCTACATTAGCATCTTCGTTCAGATCAGGAGTGCTCTTTTGAAGTGAATCATCCAATAATCTCCACTTACCCAGTTTTGTTTCATATTTTGAAGATGTCTTGGAGTGCCAACCACACCTTTTGGATGAAATTAAAAAGGCAGATGCACTCCAACCACAAGCAGGCATGCAGTCTAGACCTCAGCTAATCCAAAGGAACTCCTCCTGTCTTTAAACACATGGAGTAAAGTCTTTGGGTCCTCAGCACTTTAATTATTGTGCTCCACAATCTGCTTCTACAGGACTGTACTACTTGCCAACGGAGCTACAACCTGCCACTTCAAAAACACCCATCTTAGGTTCTCATAACCAGAGACAGAGACACCATTTAATGAAGTTATCCTGAATTGTGGAGGTCCACACAGAATGGGACTTCACCACTGCTAATTCTGAATTTCCCAAACCAGACTCAGTTTTGCAAAGTACAAATTCAAACGTCTTTAGATATCCGTCACACTGAGCGTTGGTGCCCCCACATTGCAGAACAGAAACACAGACACATGTTAGAACAGCCAGGAACAGCTCAGATTTCTTGGTTTAACCATCTAAACACTTATCTGTCATATAGTTGATATTTATGCAACTAATCTTCATATGATTTTTAAAGGGAGGGGTGAGGGGAGGACAAATAATCCCTTTCCCAAAATGTTTCAGGTAGTTTTCTGTACTTTGACCACATATCCTTTCCAACTCCTCGGTAATACTCAAATGATAAGGTTCCTGCAACGAGTTTTAGAAGTCACCTATACGCCTTTTAAAAAGTAATCTTTTCTCTAATACTGCTGAGAATTACAGTTTTTGGCAGATATCCTAAACACCGTTCCTGTTGCAGTCTCGGTCAACACTGTCTAGGCTCTATGCCAGCATTGTAAGAACAAGTCCTCAATTTTAATTTAGGAAGCAGGGGGGTTGCAGGGGGAAAGAAGTATAAGCAACTTGTCCAGGGAGATTATTTAATGCATAAAATTCTTCCCAAAGAATGTCAAACAGGTATATCCAAACATACACTTAGTCTATCCAAGTAAAAATTACAAGTAAGCAAGGCTTGGTAAAAATACCAACAAAGTGATGGAAGCCCAGAGATTCAATGCCTGACACTAATCTTAACTCACATTACCAAGCTCCTCATTGTTTACTGGTTTCATCAAAACAGGGTGGCGAGTTAAGGACAAAGTGACAACATTTCGATATTTTGGTCTTAAATTGTGTCACAACACTGATGTTTATCTAAATATGTGTCTACCACCCTTCCCCCATCTTAAAGAGCTTGTTTTGGCTGTTGTTTTGTTAAAAATCACTTGGGATCATAGAGTTTTCCAACACAAGGACCAACGAACTAAGTGCGTTTTTCTGAAAGCTAAATGTGAACCGTTTTTAAAATTCACTTTAAGAACAATATACCCACCCCATCACCTGCTAAAGGAAACCTTTATAGCTCGTCGTTCATATTTATGTCCAAAGGGAACCAGGCAGAGGTTATAGACTCAATAAAAGGTAAAAGCTTTTCTCTTACAAACTTTACATGATTTACTGTATAACCTTATTCGGTAGTACATCAACCTACATTACATGCCGTCTTGTGGCTGTGGAAGTTGTTAGTTCTGTTTTGTATTTTAAAAAGCAGGACTGATTAAACATAACTTTCAGGTAACTGCCTTTTCTTTTTAATTGCTCATTAAATTATGATTTCTGCAACATCCCCAAAAACTTCAACCTTGTGCAACAAAAAAGTGCATTGCTTTGTTTCCACTACTAGCAGCAGCATCTCCTTTATTTTAAAAAGAAATTCCAGATTTTAAGAGTTGCTCTGATTACTAAAGTTAAATGACCTAGATAATTTAATCATAATCCCCTTCCTCACAAAAAAAAGTACCTTAGAGATTAAAGAAGCATTTAAAATAAATCACTGACTCCCATACTAAGAAAAATTTCAGAGGCTAGGCGGTATCTCAACTCTTGCCCACCTTTGACAATATCAATAAAATATTTTATTTTCCTATTTTCCTAGCTTCTTTTTATTATTTGCTCCCCCCGCAAAATCGCTACAGAGCCAGAGTCTAAAAACAGTTGGAAGCGCTACGATGTTTATCTTGGCAATCTCAGAAGGGTGGGGAAGAAACAGAAGAGAAATGGAGTTTATATGCCTCCCCCTTGTCCCTCCTCCTACCTTCATGTGTGGCTGAGTCTTTCCTACCAATCCCTCCTTATAGCAGCACTAAACTCACTTGCACTTTGAAAAAGAGGGATAAGGGGCATAATATGACCTGGAAAGCAATTTGGAACTTTGTATTATTTGTTATATAAACACGTCACGGGATGCAAATCAACAACTGGTCCTGGTTGCATCCTTGTTAAACATTACCAGGATTTGGAAAATCAGACTGGGTGTAGTTTTTCCATCATTGTTAAGTGAACAGTTGAAACGGAGACTCAAGCAAGAGGTCATCTGAGGACGACTGGAATTTGACCCTGGACTTCCTGAGGAGCCAGAGGATTGGTTTCACTTCAGCTCTGTATCATACCCACCTCTGGCCTGAAAACTGTTTTGAAATCCTCCTACCTCTGAAGCTCACACTGTATATTCCATCCGCATGTATATAAATGCACATGAGATCTTAAGGAGGTGAAAAGTATGACAGAACAATATTGTACATGTACATTCATTTTCTTTTATCTTCTGATAGTGTATGCAAATTGCATACTTATCGTATCACAAAAGTATGATTTACGTATTTGTAATTTTTGCAGACTTAAAATTATAACACTGATTTATAAATCATATTTACAAATCTAGGTGGCTTTTAGTCATCATGCAACTGTGCATGAGAGAGTAATACATTAAAAAATAGGCTTCTACCTACCAAACACAGACGTTTGAGAAAGCTTTAAAGGGAAATTTGAAGCATGTCATGGCCCCCAAGAAAGTAATCTTGAGGAAAAAAAAAAAAAAATCCATCTGGGAATAATTAGTGTCTCCTCCTCTTTACAGTTACCTAAAGTCTAGACATGTTGCCTCTTCTTTGGAACAGAGATCAAGACACAGCCTCCCCCCAGATACCTTCAAACAACCCAGTTTGGTTCCTTGTTGCCTCCATAGGAGCTGCTGGATATTCATATGCTTTGGAAGACGGCTTATATTCAAGTAGTCAGACATGGATTTAAGTGCTTCGCTCTACGTTTGCCAGTGGATTTGCACATGTTGTTTTCTTTCCTGAGACGTGCAGGGGCTACAGGGAACTCTTTTTAAATTACAGAATCATAGAATCATTATGGTTGGAAGAGACCTCAAAGATCATCAAGTCCAACCATATAAATGGGCGTGGGAACAGGAAACACAAGTGGCAGAGGGGCTTCTGCCCCTCCATCTCCAGTCTCCTGTCTCTACCTCTTCTAGCCGCCTCCTTTGCTCCTTCTGCTGCTCGATGCGCTTCTGCCTCTCTGCCAGCAGCTGCCTCTTGTACTCCTCCTGCTCACGGAGCTGCTGCTCCTGCAGCAGCTGCTGTCTCCGAAGGGCCTCGGACCGTTCCTTGTTTTCCTGCTGCAGTCTCAGGAAATCACGTCGGAGGGTTGATTCTCCAGGCACATTGACAATGGAGCTGCAACAAGAGGAAGTTAAAGCCTCATGTACAATAAAGCCTGATGGGCCATTAAATACATTTTCCAAAGCAGAGGAGTATTAATAAAATATAGCATGACGTTAAATTTTAATCTCATTTCTTCCGGAGCAAAGACACTGGATGCATGTCAAATACACGCTCTCAGTGGAAGGCGTGAAATGAGGCCAAGCAAAATAAGGACCAACTCTGACATTGTGGAACCCCTGACCCATCATATTTGCCATAAATTTCCCTCCATCCAGAGCTTGCTGGCTCCAGGCCACATGAGGGGGAGCTTTAAAATCTTTAGCAGTCACAGAATAGGTATTCAAACCCTTTGGGTGGTTTGTGTGGCTTGCGCATGCGCTTAAGAGACAGAAATTTAGCATGCTCCTCATTTATACTCACAGACCTTTAGTCTTACTTGGCATGGATTGCCCAGAGCCCTCCCAAAAGCAATTATTACCTTGGCTCTCCTTCTTGTTCAGGCACTTCCTCCTCTTCTTCCTCACTTCCACTATATTCATACTCCGTCTCATCTAATGGGAAAGAAACAAAGGCCTAGACAGTGCTTATCTTTAATTTTAGGACAGTGGGGAGTTACAGTAGCACCTTAGTGAACCAGTTCCTCTCCCCTTCAGTGAGAAGATCTCTCGCAGACCCTAGAACTCATTCAACATATACAAGCCCATCTTCCCACACTTGTGAAGTAGCACAGTGCTTTGCAGCAGACTTTCAGCAAATTCCCTGAACGACACCAGGTTTTATATGTAAGCCGAGACACCTGGAGAACCTCGGCACCACCTGAATAAAGAGAACAGGCTGCCCAAGACATTTGCTTCATAGCTCTTGTGATGGGTTATTTCCTGCAAGACTGACTTATGGCACCATGCCAGGAATGAACCTACCACAGACCAAAAAAGGGAAAGGCATATATGCCAATATCCTCCTAAATACTATTTAATGCTTGTATGGAAGAGGCAGTGGCCCAGAAGGGAGTAAATTTAACTCATCTGAAAATAAGACACTTGAAATTGATACTTTCTCTGTAGAGAACAGAACAAAACCTAAAAGCCTGCTGATAGTCAAAACATGAATTAAAAAAGAACCTTTCAACGGTTTGGGTTGTTCCGAGCTTTTCTAGAGGTGGGGATGTAGAATGCAAAGCAGGACAAAAAAACCGTATTTTTAACAAGCTGCGATGCTTGACTTTTAGAAGCTGCATACCTTTCTCTCCTCTCTTCTTCCTGGTCCTGTCTATATGGTCCTTAAGCTGGATTCTGACTTGCCTTTCATTTGGTTGGTCACGTATAAAGGGATGTTTCAAAAGTTGTTCTGTAGAAGGTCGCTGCATGTAATTCTTCACTAGACAACCTTCTATAAAGCTGAAAAACTTTTTTGACCTGAGAAAGCAGGGAGGGGGGGAAACAACAAAACAAAACAAGATCACAGGTAAAACTCAGCTCAAACATTTTTTTCTGTTCTTCCTCAAAGTCTAATTCCTTTCCTCAAAGAGCATCACATCCCAAGCACTGTCTGCCAGCGGGCCTCCTAAACAGAGCTGACTGTGCTCCAGTTGAGCGCTGGGCTTGATGGACACAGGGCTGGATGGACACAGGGCAATACAAACACACCTGCAGTGCTTAGGCACAGCCTCCCAGTAATGTGCCCTCTTTCACAGGCATAATTGCCCTGAAAAGCAGGATGTGAAGGCAAATTATGCAAACCCAGCTCTGCTACCTCTGGACCAGAGCTGGATAGTATCCAGCTTGCTTGGAGCACGGGCAGGGCAGTTCTGGTGTGTCTCTGCCTGCCCAAGCTATCTAAGGGCATGCCTGTTTCAGAACAGCCCTACCAAAAGCTGCAAAAACTGCAGCCAACATTGCCCTGACGCAAGCAGCACTGCGCTGCTTTTGTACGCACCTGGGCTCGCCGAGATAGGTCTATGAGAATTTAAGATTATTTTACTTTTTACCTAAAGAGCCACACATAAAAAAAATCCTCATAGAACAACAGGTGGGTGTTGAACAGTGTTGTCTGTTCAACACAGGCACTTGGCATCAAGTTCTTACTGATGCAATTTAAGGGCATGAACCGAACTGAGCCACTCCTGCACACTGCATAAAGTGACAGGCCATGGGGGTTAGCTGAGCTGGAGCATCACCTTCCTAAATTTGCACTTTATTTGAGCTCTTGAAAGAGGACCTCTCGAGAAAAAAAGTCACCAAACAAGCCGCCTTGCAAAACGTCAATAATGGAAATATTCAAAACTGCATTTTTCATCATTTGGTCTATTTTCTCACAACCTGTCGCTGAGCACACTGTCAAAACAGTTGAGTTAGAGCAGCACTGGCTTTGGCCAGAGTCCCTTTTTGGTTGCTAGGTGTTCTCAACCTGCTCCCGTGCTTGGGCAGTAAATACCTCCACTACATCGTTAAGTGTAAAAATAACAGTTTTCATCCATCACTTCGCTTTCCTACCGCAATCTAAGAGGCCAAATTCAAGGTAACTTGGTGGTTGTTTTCTTCACTCCTCACGCCTTAAGTGTTATTATTCTAAATAAAAAGGTTAATGAAAGTCTTATGCAAATATTGTATATGCATCTCTATTCGTTTAACATATGCAGAAAGCAAGTATGAGAGAGGAACACCTTGAGAGCACAAGGGCATAAATAAGTCAATCCAGGCAAAGACCAAGCCCAGCAAGCAAGCCAAGCTTTTATTATGTTGATATTGAATAGGTAGTCAAATCACTTCATTATTTTGACAGGATCACAACATCCTGTGATCACATTCAATCTATACGAAACCTCTTTCTAGGGAGTGTTTTTGTTTCATATGTGCCAGTTGTAACCAGTAACTGGGAGGAAATCCTCCGATACTAATGGATTCTTCTCAGCTGGCAAGAAGCACACACTCAATTCCAATCGTTTACAATAATTATAGTAAAAGCCTTCATTAGTTTTAATAGCTCCTTTCAACTTAGCAACTAGAACACTATAGTACTGTTCTGTTTCTGTGTTACGACACATCTGAGAAAACATACTGCATATTAAGAGTGCTGCGGGAGTTTATTTTTTAAAATATGGATCCATTTGTCACCTTAATACAGATGCTGCTCTGTCAAGGAAAAAAGCTTGGTTTTTATTTTCACACAATTCAAGAGAAAATTTCTCTGGGACCAACAGAACTAAATAAACAATGCATGCCTTTTATTTCATGCTTTGATTCAGTGGCACAGAAGATAACAACAGAGTGATTTTTGCTGTCTTAAATTGCTTTACAGTTCTGGGGAAGCGGTACAAAACAGCATGTGATGGGACACAAGAAAACATTACACTGCAAAAAGGGCTACAAACAAGATATAACTAATACATACCATTTCTTGGATTTTAACCGTGGGGGAGGGTTCCTGGGTATCAGAAAGAGTGCCCTCATGGGATGCATGTCACAAAGCGCTGAAGGAAAGAAAACAAAACCGAACAGAAACATACAGACATTGGCTTAGTTGGTCTCTGTCAATACAGTGGCTTCAGCTTCCTCAACCATTCCCACCATCCCGACCGCATATGCAGCAGATGCAGACAGCAACACAGCTAAACGGAATTGGTCCGAAATGACAATTCCACAGTTCAATGTGCCAAGGGCGGCCCCAAAAAGAGAAAGAGATCGAGGCACGGATTAACCTTCAGAATCAACCATGATGGGAATATCTGTGCATGGCCCTCCTCTGGCCCCAAATCATCTAACTTAACAAAATATCGGGAGGTGATGAAGGCAGAAGGGAAGAACTACACAGTTACTGTTTCGTCCAAACTTCCCCCCACCCGCCCTTCTCTCCCATTATGGAGAATGTCTCATTTTTACTCTCCAGACTTGGGAGATTTTCTTTACTCCAAGGCCTGACAGTTTTGAACCACTGGAGGGTTTGTATCAAAAAAAAGCACTCCCTGCAGAAACGAAATGCAAACCCATGACTTTCGTCAAAAACAGTCCCGTTGATTTCAGTGGACACTCAGTGGGAGTCCGGGATCTCTGCCCGACAGCCTTTCCTCCTGTTCCATAGCAAAGCACCAGGGCAGAGCCAACACAGGTAAACAAGGGAGCAGGGAGAGAGGTTGTCCAAGAAAGGTCTCTAGAAGCAAATCCTCTGTTTTGACCATCTTCCTATCCTTGACTTCTTGCACCATCAGTCTCAGCCTGAATGATCACTGCAGGAAAAGGTAACGTTTCCCACAAAACAGGTATTCAGGAGAAACAGACTGATGTGAAAACGATTCTGGATTCAGAAATAAGGGGCCACCTCCTTGGCAGAGAAGCCCCTTGGATGCCTGTGGAACCCATCAGACCACCAAGCTTAGAGATGGACCCTTCAGCTGCTGCTGGAGAAGGAGGCAGAGCCCACATGCCATAGGTCAGATCAAAGTAAGAGCTGTCCAGCATTTACACTGGATCTTTGCATACTCCTTCAACGCCTCTATTGTGCTTTTACACAAAGAGGGACCAAGTTCTGCTTCGGTTTGGAAATGAAAAAAAATATTATTGTCCAATTCCAAGCTTACAAAACCCACAGACACAGCTTTTAATTGAAAGCCATCCAGGCAACCCAATGCACTGAACGAAAAGGTATGGCAAAAACGAGGTCAAGTGGTAGCTCAGACACTGTTAATACAGCGCTGGCTGAGGTGTCCTGGGAGCAGCTCTCAAGTGGGCATTCATACAGACGTGCAATTAGGAAGAAAAAAAAAAAACAACAAAAAGCCCAAACCATCAGATCTCTGAAAATATGAATCAAAACAAGCGTGTTGTGATTCGATTTATAAATTTTACATTAACAACAACAACAAAATCAGGCAGCAGCTATAATGAAATGACCATTTTTTAGCTAGGAAAATATCAATACTTTATTTCAACGTGATTTTTTCAAAGACAGAGATTTCAAGGTCGGCTGTGGTGTGGTGGTGGTAGTTGTTTATGTGTAAAAAAATTTAATTAACTCACTCTTAGGTAACTTAGGCTGTCATTTTTTTTAATACAGAGCTCCAGTTGGGGGTGAGAGTAACCATATTTGCTAGTTCAATAAGAACTTTCACAAAAATTACCATTAAACCCCAAAACATCATTCCTAATTTCTTTTCTTTTTAAATCCTTCTGTCCTCCTCGCACGTATCTGCTGTCTGCCTTGATATTCAGAAATAACAACTACACAAGGGGAAAATAAGCTGTAAAAAGTTGCGCATTTTTGGTTTCCAGGTTTCTCTCTCAAAAACACCCATATTAACTGATAAGTGTTTCCAAGCAGAGAGCATTAAGTTCAATACTTTGTGTTGAAGACAGATTTACAGTTTAAGTCACGTCACTGCTAAGGAAGATCAACACCGCCCACCGACGAGTGGAAACAAAGGAGAAGCAATGTTAGCATTACCCAGACCAACAGAAAGCCGACACAGAAACAATTGCTACAGATGCTTTTTTCATTAAGTTTGGTTTTCTCCAGACTCCACTGCCCCTCTCCCTGGCTGAGGTCTCAGCATCCCAGGCCAGGCCATACACAAACTGGGACACAACTTCAAAACACAATATACTACCCATAGGAAGGAAGTCTGACACTCCATTAGCTTCCAAATATTCCTGCTATAGAAATTAAATTACTTCAGTCGGCACTGTAGTTCTTAAACACAATCCTATCTTTATCAAAAGCATTGCTATTTATGGGATTCTATATTTATAGGGCAGGCAAAACCAAAGAGAACAGAAATAACATGAGGATACTTTCAGAAACCTCAAAACTAGGCTTAGATTACAACAAGCGTCTCCCAAGTATATGTTTCAGTCTTAATCAGCCCACTGGAGAAGCACACGTATCACTTACGGGGAGCTCCTTCTGCCATCTCTATGGCTGTAATGCCGCAGGACCAAAGGTCACTCTGCACAAAAAGAGAGAGACCATATGTTAGTAGGTGGATTTACCCATTCAGACAGAGGAGAGTACTATTTACAGAGGCCCTGTAGGTGAGGCTGAAACAAAATACCATGGATATTTAAATAATACAAGTTACTTTTTTTCTTGTAACAGTGTCACAGAATCCTACTTTTCATATAATATATAATACATATACGTATGAAGAAATGCACGCATGTATTCATAGAGTACGCAAACAACCCCTTCTAATAACACAAAAATACGTTCATATTATGACAATGAAAAACACATTTGCCAGAAATGACAGGATTTTCAATATTCCCTTATTTACAAAGGACTGAGCAAGGGCACTGCCAGGGCACACAGAGATGCAGTCAGAAAAGCAAAAGCTCAGCTCAAATTGAAATTGGCCGGAGATGTCAAAAACTACAAGAAAGGGTTCCTCAGGTACATAAACAACAAGCAGAAACAGAAGGAAAATACTGGCCCACTGTTAAACAGGAGAGGTGAATTAGTCACCAACGACGCTGAAAAGGAAGAGGTTCTCGGCACTTTCTTCACCTCTGTCCTTACCAGTACTGGTGGGACCCAGGCCTGGGGAATGAAAATCCAGGTTAATGCAAGCACAGACCCGCTGTCAGTGAAGGCAGAGTTGGTATGTGCTTGACCCCTACAAATCGATGGGCTCTGACAATATCCACCTGAGGGTGTTCAGGGAGCTGGCTGACGTCGTTGTGAGGCCGCTCTCCATAATCTTTGAGAAGTCATGGAGATTGGGGGACATCCCAGAAGACTGGAAGAAGGCTAATGTCATCCCCATCTACAAGAAGGGATTAAAGGAGGATCCAGGAAATTATAGGTCCATCAGTCTGACTTCAGTCCCTGGGAAAGTTATGGAACTAATCCTTCTGGGGGCTATCACAAGTCAAACGAAGCACAGGATTGGGAAAAGCCAGCATGGATTCACCAAGGGAAAATCGTGCTTGACAAACCTGATCACCTTCTACAACAAAGTAACCTGCCTGGTTGATGTAAGGTGAGCGCTGGACATTGTCTACCTGGATTTCTCCAAGACTTTCAATACGCTTTCCCACAGCCTCCTCTCAGAGACATGGATGCTTTAGGGTCTGGACGAGTGGTCCGTGCGGTGGGTAGGAACTGGATGAGGGGCTGCACCCAGAGGGTGGTGGTAAAATGGCTCCTCTTCAAACTGGCAACCTGTCACAAGTGGGGTCCCCCAGGTATTGATATTGGGCCCCATGTTGTTTAATGTCTTCACGAGAGATCTGGATGACGGGATCAAGTGTACCCTGATGAAGTTTTGTGATGATACCACACTGAGTGGGGAAGTGGACACTTTGGAAGGGAGAGCCACCCTGCAGGAAGACCTGGATCGGCTGGAAGAGTGGGCTAACAAGAACTTTATGAAGTTCAACAAAGACAAATGTAAGGTCTTGCATGTGGGAAAACATAATCCAGGAGCGCAGCACAGGCTGGGATCTACCTGGCTGGGGACAGCTCTGTGGAAAGGGACCTGGGGGTGCTAGTGGACACCAAGCTCCATAGGCGCGACCAGTGTCCTCCTGTTGCAGCAAAGGGAGCCAACAGGACACTGGGTTGCATCAAGAAGGGCATCACCAGCAGAGATAAAGAAGTCATTATCCCACTCTACTCGGCGCTTGTAAGGCCACACCTGGCATAGTGTTCAGTTTTGGTCCCTGCTGTACAAAAGAGATGTGGACAGACCGGAGGAGGTCCAGAGAAGGGCCACAAAGATGATCCAAGAACTGGGAAACCTGCCATGGGAGGAAAGGCTGAGAGAACTGGGTTTGTTCAGCCTTGAGAAAAGGCGGCTTAGGGGAGACCTTATCACCATGTTCCAGTATTTGAAGGGTGGCTACAAAGAACAGGGAGACTCCCTTTTTACAGGGAGTCACATGGAAAAGAGGAGGGGTAATGGGTCAGAGCTACTAC